GTGTTCTTCAAAGGTTTCCCCTAATACAATGATGTCATCCAGGTAGGCAAACGCATAGGGTTCCATTTCCGGTCCAATGATCCTATCTAGGAGTCGTTGGAATGTAGCTGGAGCCGAGTGAAGTCCAAAAGGCATGACTCGAAACTGGAACAGGCCTCTGCCGGGGACGGTGAAAGCAGTGATCGGTTTGCTCTCGGCAGTAAGTGGAATCTGCCAGTATCCCTGCTTAAGGTCTAAACTGGAGATATATCTGGCCTTGCGGAGCTTGTCCAGTATCGCGTTGATGTACGGTAACGGGTAGGCGTCTTTCTCGGTAACCTCGTTGACTTTTCGGAAGTCGATGCAGAATCGAGGTTTTCCATCCTTTTTGCGGACGATGACGACGGGTGAACTCCACGGGCTGTCGGACGGCTCTATTATCCCGTTGTGCAGCATTTCATCAACCTCCTTGTTGATAATGTCCTGCATCTTCAGGTTTTGCGGGCGGTACATTTGTTTAATCGGTTCGGGCGGTGACAGGCGGATCTGGTGTTGTATCAAGCCGGTAGTACCATGTAAATCCTTGAAGCTAGGTAACTCGGTATCCAAGAAGGATTTTAGCTTCTCTTCCTCCGTTGGTGTTGGGGTCGACGACAGAACCACCAAGGGATCTACATTGGGGCTTGGTGTTGACGAAATGACGGTATTATCCAGGATAACGGTGGCAGCGGACGGATTTATCAGGAAATTGTGCTTGTGCAGGATGTCCATTCCTAGCACAACATCGGAGGATAAATTTGTGAGATATCATAGCCTCTCATCAAATTCTTTACTGCCTATCCGGAATTTGAATTTGGTAAACCTCGGTTACTGTCACCAAGTTACCATTTGCAAGCTGAACGGCTTTCCTTTCGCGGTACGGCGGATAACTGAAAAGAGAAGATATTATTAGTAGAACGGACAGCAGGCAAGTCTTTACCTAGGTTCCCTAAACCTTGACTCACTTCTCTTCCTGGGCACGTCTGGTCGGTCGGAATGCTGGAACAGGACTAACTCTGCAGTACAATTACCTTGTCAGGTCTCTTGTCACCTCAAGAGACTTGCGCATTGAATCTGCGCGGAACCTAACTTACTTCGGCGGTCTTCGGACTGGACTGGTGTTGGCGGCGGCTGGAGATGAACTGCCTTCTTCAATTTCGTTTGTTTCCTAAGTCCCTCGTCTTGGATTGGCGGCTGCGCAGTTCGTCTAAACTGGACTTGTAAAATTCTCACCCACTTCCAGCGGTATCGTATCTTCGGGCAGGGCGGCTGGCGGCTCGACTGGATGCGACGACGGCTCGTGGTAGACTAATCCTTTGAATACAGCCTGTCTGCTACATTCGTGGGGCGAATCCTAGCGACTGCACAGTTTCTTCAGGCTGGACTTAGTGAAATCTTACCAATTCCTTACTGGTGACGTAGGTCTTACTGGAACGGCTGACGGCTTGACTTGTCTCTGCTATGCCTCGTGGTCAACTAAAACTCTTGCGGCGACTTAATTCCTAAGCCCTGGCGATGCTTCGGCGGCGGCTGCGTAGTTCTCCTAATCGGGACTTGTAAAATTCTTACTCAGGTGATGGTGACGTATTGCTGGCTGGACGGCAGGCTGCACTCGGCACGTCTGGTTCCTACGCTGGCAGGCGGACGACTGTCATATGCACTGTGAGTTTGCAGGTCATCGACTTGGCGCTACGCGGTGACGGACGGCGTTTGAAATGCCAATAATAGTGCCGGTGCAGTAAACTATATTTATTAATATAATTTAATAAAAAGAACACAAATGTGGGGTGTCGGAAAATCACTTCGTTACATCACGTCAAACAAGGCTGAAATTAAACAAAAACGTATTTACAAAATTTCGTATTATTTTTCAAAAACTAATCATGTTAGACTTGATTTTTTGAGAGGCATAATGTTGGTCCCTTGATTACGCAACTTTGCCTCCATTTAAGTTCCTTCGTATCTCTTACCGTTTCCGAGATCCCTGTAGTGAGAAGCGAATTTGTAACAGCCTGTATACTTAGACGAAACATGGTTGGATAGCTATGACAGGTACTTCATCGAGAGATTTGATTGACTAGGGAGATAGGTATAGTATACAAATACAAACACACAATCAAAGGAAAGGAATAATAAAACATGCCGAATCTGAAGATTGTTGGACTCCTGTTTGGATTAGCCGAAAGGGGAGTTATTAGAAGAATGGATCATAATTCATAATATTCCTCGAAACAGTGTGATGGAACTAAANGTTAAAATTGAGGTACTTTGGCATTTATTTAAATTATTCTTCTGTTCTCATGAGCATTGAAATTTATCTCACTCACTAGCGGGAACCATTGCGAATACATTGATATATAATAATATTCAATTATGTTAGTTTCTTCGATGATTTGTGTCCTCATCTGAAGCTGTGTTACACGGTAAAAATATACATACTAAATCGTCCCCTTAACATGGAACTCGACGACAATGCTATAAACATCTCCGCCAAAGACCAAATTTTGTCGATGTCAAAATGGCTTCTCTTCAAAATAATTAACCTGTTGTGATGATTTTTTAAAAACTCATTGGCGAAAAGGTAAACAGAATTTTTTTTTAAACACAATTTATGTAGATTTGTAAATAAATTACATATAAATTACAAAACGCTTATAATATTCCAGAATAAATTGACACTACATTACTATACTCCACGGCCGAAATTATAGAGAGTGATTCATCGCCAGCTTTCGGACTAGTAAGGGGGATGAAGCGTGCCGGAAACGAAAATCCATTGGCGTGTCTGCGTAAAAGGCAACAANTTCTCCAATTTCGTTTGTTTCCTAAGTCCCTCGTCTTGGATTGGCGGCTGCGCAGTTCGTCTAACCTGGACTTGTAGAATTCTCACCTACTTCCAGCGGTGACGTATCTTCGGGCAGGTCGGCTGGCGGCTCGACTGGATGCGACGACGGCTCGTGGTAGACTAATCCTTTGAATACAGCCTGTCTGCTACATTCGTGGGGCGAATCCTAGCGACTGCACAGTTTCTTCAGGCTGGACTTAGTGAAATCTTACCAATTCCTTACTGGTGACGTAGGTCTTACTGGAACGGCTGACGGCTTGACTTGTCTCTGCTATGCCTCGTGGTCAACTAAAACTCTTGCGGCGACTTAATTCCTAAGCCCTGGCGATGCTTCGGCGGCGGCTGCGTAGTTCTCCTAATCGGGACTTGTAAAATTCTTACTCAGGTGATGGTGACGTATTGCTGGCTGGACGGCAGGCTGCACTCGGCACGTCTGGTTCCTACGCTGGCAGGCGGACGACTGTCATATGCACTGTGAGTTTGCAGGTCATCGACTTGGCGCTACGCGGTGACGGACGGCGTTTGAAATGCCAATAATAGTGCCGGTGCAGTAAACTATATTTATTAATATAATTTAATAAAAAGAACACAAATGTGGGGTGTCGGAAAATCACTTCGTTACATCACGTCAAACAAGGCTGAAATTAAACAAAAACGTATTTACAAAATTTCGTATTATTTTTCAAAAACTAATCATGTTAGACTTGATTTTTTGAGAGGCATAATGTTGGTCCCTTGATTACGCAACTTTGCCTCCATTTAAGTTCCTTCGTATCTCTTACCGTTTCCGAGATCCCTGTAGTGAGAAACGAATTTGTAACAGCCTGTATACTTAGACGAAACATGGTTGGATAGCTATGACAGGTACTTCATCGAGAGATTTGATTGACTAGGGAGATAGGTATAGTATACAAATACAAACACACAATCAAAGGAAAGGAATAATAAAACATGCCGAATCTGAAGATTGTTGGACTCCTGTTTGGATTAGCCGAAAGGGGAGTTATTAGAAGAATGGATCATAATTCATAATATTCCTCGAAACAGTGTGATGGAACTAAAATAAATTCTTCGTTTCGGAGATATTGGCAGCGCGAGTGTTAAATGGCATACCATCTATGTATATTCAGGATGTGCCAGACCAGCCATTTTCAGAAAAAGAAGGGGGATTATTTAATTCCAAGCCAATCACACTGTTTCCATGAATATTATGAATTATGATCCAATCTTCTAATAACTCCCCTTTAGGAGTCCAATAATCTTCATATTCGGCATGTTTTATTATTCTTTTCCTTTGCTTGTGTGTTTGTATTTGTATACTATACCTATCTCCCTAGTCAATCAAATCTCTCGATGAAGTACCTGTCATAGCTGGTAAATGGCACACCCTGTATATCAAAATGATATATATTTTCATGAAGTTACACCAAAAAGGGACTTAATAGACTCCAATGTAGAAAAAAAACTTCTGCCATAATTTTACTAAATGTAAATGTAATGTAAGGAACACACAGTGCTATCACTATATTTAGTCCCATAGAACATAGGTATATCATCAATCAGAATGTAGCGTGTTACTGTAATAATATTCTACCACTCTTTTGAAATACTGGTCAGAGAAGTCAACAAAGTGTCTGTGAGTAGCTGGCAAAATTTTATTTCACATTGTTGAACATTCATATTGCGAATACTACAGGGAGTTTTATTATTAACGAATTAAATAAATAAACTCTGATTGTACATATTTATTCATGATTATTTATTTTAAAAATATGTATGCATTATATTTTCATTTTATTAATTGTGTATTGTTGTAATCGTTTTTAAAATAAATTTAGTTTTTTAATTATTAACGATATCTATAATCTCTCAATGTCAATTGAAAACGTCATCCAATACTGAATAGAAATAATTAATTTTGTAAAATAAGATGCATGTCGATCTGTTTATACACTCTGTTTGTCTCAGACCTGGTAGCAACTGGATGCTCGTAGTCATTCTATTAAATCTATAAATGTACATTAATATTATATTTTTGTGTTATTACCTTTGTGTGTGGTACACATTTATGATGTTCTTGAAGATGATGATACCGAAGCTCTATAATTAATAACAATTCTTTCGATTATGGTTGCAGAGGCATGTTCCCTTCCAAAAGTCTCAGGTACTTGTACCAACTATGAGTTACAGTATTACTTTAGCATTAATAGTGGACAGTGTTCACCGTTTTGGTACGGAGGCTGTGGCGGTAACGAAAACCGTTTTAAAACTCAAGAGGAATGTGACAAAATTTGCATAAACCCAAATGATCAAGGTAGGATATTTAATATTTATTTATTTGTTTACTTTTAAACTGTTAGTTACATAACCAGCCATTAATAATCATAATACATATTACATATCTCATTTTACAAAAGTCTTGTATAGCAACGAAATTACTTATCTATAAAATGAACTCATTGAATAAGACTTTAGACCTATCACCCGTTAAAAATATATGTTCCGTAAAGTTGCACTACAGACGGAATATTGCGGGAATCCTATTTTTTCTCTTAATAAAATTTTTTAATTTTACTAACGAATGTAAATGATCTATTTTTTATTCATAGATGCCTGTTACCTACCAGCCGTTAAGGGAAGATGTAGAGAATCCCACAAGAGATGGTATTTCGATAAAGACAGGAAACTGTGTTCTAACTTCAATTATACTGGATGTTACGGAAACAAAAATAATTTTGACACAAGGGAAGCTTGCCATAAAGCTTGCATTAGCGGTTCATCAGTGGACTTACAAGGTGAGGCAACAATTATAAAAATTAAAAATTAAATTGGTTAAGTAATTAATCAACCAGATGTTTATAGTTTCAGTATTCATAGAAAATTAGTAAGTAGGTATTAGTTTTTTTTAAAGACAATCTAAAAATATTTAAGTATTTAATCTAAATACAGGGTGTTTGCAAAATGCGTTAAGAAATTTTAAGGGGAGGTTCCGCAGGGCAAAGTAATGTTAGTTTGACATTTAACAAAATATTGAAATCTCCATGATATATGGTTTCAAAGTTAAATTTTTATTTTACGATAAAATTGCTTTTCTTTAATGCCGCTAGAGTGCACTTTATCTGAAACCTAAATAATATTTCCATCATAAATTTTTTATTTCCATAGATATGTATAATAAGTGTCATTTTAAAGACAATAAAAAAACATAAAAAATAAGGTACTCTTAATCAGCATCCATAAACCTCACCGTTTAGCTACAAATTGACATCAAAGTTTTGACATCAAATTATGTTATTCACATATATCATAACATAACACTTCACTCCCACACAGAAAAGCTACTACTAATACTAATAAATAATTTTGTTTTAGGATTATTAATACGTATATCAAAAAAAAACTAATTTAAAATTTAGAAAGTGAGAAAGCAAAAAAAAAATAAATTTTCAAAATGTTCATTTCTATACATTTTCTAACTATTTAAAAAAAATTTTCTAACGTGAAAAAAAGATGACAATTCTATTTTTAATATCCTCGCAATAATTTTATCCTTTGTCGCAAATCATTGACATTATTTACTGGAGTTTTGTACACCAGAGTTTTAAGTGACCCCAGAAAATGAAGTAATATCAGACGAACGAAGTGCCCAAGCTCCAAGTCCGTTTCGTTCAATCCACTGGTTAGGAAATGCGTCATTTGTATGTCCTCCGTCCTAAACTGAAGTGGGGTGGAGCGGCATCCTGAAGTAGCCACATGTTCAGTCTGGTTTCTATGACGACATTCCCCAACAAAAGGGGAAAATCATTTTCAAGAAAACGATTCCGGTCCATACATTTAATGAAAACTGGCGCTGATGGTGCTTTTCTGTGATGGGGTATTGGTTGTTATAAGGCCGTTGATGAATATTACGAAAATTTGTAATTTCTTCTCGTGTAAATCCTGCTTCGTCAGTGAATGTATGGTTTCGATACATTGGTTGATTTCTTCATATTTTTGCAAAAGAGAATTACACATATCTTCTCTAGTCCAGACGGTATCTGTTTCAAACAGTCCATATTTGGGTTAATCGTATATCCACAGAGATTTTTGGATTTTTGGCTTTCAAATATCACTAGAAATTATTTTTTTCTATGCGCATAAAAAAACGTGGGCTTAACTTTTAGCGGCACAATATGTTAAAAAAATTCGATAAATGTCATATTTTTCTTCCTATTTAATTATGTATCCTTTCAAGAGTTGATTTTAGGCGAAAATGGAAAAGGAAAAAAATGTTTGTAATTAAATTTTACAAAATATGACTAGTTACAAAACGAATGAATCATGATTATTATTGTAAAAATCGAACATATCGTCAAATATGGGGTTAAAAAACATTACTTTTTAGGGAATTTTTTTGGGCTCAAGAAAAGTTTATGTTATGTAGAATCATCACACCAAATTTCATCAAAATCGGTTAGATAGATTTTGCATAATAATTTTGCAATCCAGATTTTGAAAAAAAATTTGCAAATTTTCAAAATTTTGCACAGCAAAGGCCCTTAGATACTTCTCTCAAGCTTTCAAACGCTTTTTGAACCATTCGAATCCGTCAATTAGAAGAGCTCTGGCGCTTGTTTAAACATTGGTCGAATTTTTGTAATATAATGAGTTAATTTCTCATTATATTCTCATTATACTTTAATCACAAAAGAAATGATGATTAAATTAATAATTAGTTAATTACTTATTTTCGACATATTTTGAAAATAATTGTTGTTTAAACAATTTTAGAATATTTCAATAAATTTGTTTTTGATCTTTGAAAAACAGTATATAAGTTTATGCATTTACCTTTGATACAATAAAAAATTAAAGTTGATAATTAAAGGAAGTTTAAAGATAAATAATGATCGGACTGTTGAAAGACCAATAATTATTAACGATAAACATTTGAAAATACGCTAATTGTGTTTTTACCTAAAAAGTAATGTTTTTTAACCCCATTTTTCGAGATTTTTTTCGATTTTTACAATAATAATCATGATTCATTCGATTTGTAACTAGTCATATTTTGTAAAAATTTTAATTACAAACATTTTTTCCTCTTCTATTTTCGATTAAAATCAATTCTTGAAAAGATACATAATTAAATAGGAAAAAAATATGACATTTTTCGAATTTTTCGCCGCCAAATGTTAAGCCCACGTTTTTTTTATGCGCATAGAAAAAAATTATTTCTAGTGATATTTGAAAGCCAAAAAGCCAAAAATCTCCATGGATATACGATTCACCCAAACCAAAACAGATACCGTCTAGTCTACTCGTAGTTTGTACATGAAAGGGGTACAGTTGCTCTTCACGAAGAATTTTCCAAACCGTAGAATTAGCACTGCCTTCTTGTAGCCCAATTTTTCTTGTACTAGTACCTGGATTTCCATCTATTCATTCAAGAAGCCTTTCTTTCCTTTCGATAGTTCTAATATATCTCTATTGCCAATACAGTTTTTAAAGGATTTCTAGTAAATGTTGTGGTATAAAGCCTTCTAGCCTCTTCCACATTTCCATTTGCTTGACCGGAACAAAAATGCATATCCCGTTATTAAAAATTTGAATACATATCTCTCTCAACTTGATCGTAATGCAATTATGACTTAGGTGTTTAATTATTATTTGATTAGTTTAATTGTTTAGTTGTAGTAGCGACGTCAAAATTTATATAATTTGAAGCAGCCGCGACTTCATTTAAATAGGTATATGGATATTTGGTTGAGAGGTGAACTTTAATGTCAATTTGTGGCTAAACTGTGAGGTGAATGCTGATTAAGAGTACCTTATTTTTTATGCTTTTTATTGCCTTTAAAATGAGACTTTGGGTTTTGCTATATCTATCGAAATAAAAAGTTATGATGGAAATATTATTTAGGTTTCAGGTAAAGCGCACTCTAGCGGCATTAAAGAGAAGCAATTTTATCATAAAATTTTGTAGTCAATGGAGATTAGTTCGTGTGCCGAATATCAAATCTGTTGGTTGAAGAATAAATTTAATGTGACCAACAAATAGAAATAAAAATTTAACTTTGAAACCCTGTGTCATGGTAACAATAGAGATTTTGACATTTTGTCAAATGACATACTATAGTACATTGTGTAACGAGTGGGGAAAAGTTGCCAATAGCGCCACGCGGACGCAGTTGACGCACGAGCGAAGCGAGTGCGGAAAGCGCCCAAGTGGCGCTATGGCAACTTTTCCGAACGAGTTGCACATACTATTTTCTATCACGGAAAGTGCTAGATAGTACAACAGCGTGATGTTATTTTCATAGCGCAACGCTGGAGCACTATAACTAACTCCCTGCACTATAGGTCCCATAGCGAGCTCGCGTGATAGAAACATTATTTTCCTAACGCATTTTGCGAATAGCCTGTATATTGAAAATTTACGGGGGGTTTTTAGTGGCAGTAGTAGTAGTAGTAGTAGTAGTAGTGGTAGTAGTAGTAGTAGTGAATATAGGAATCTAGATAAGTCTCGAGTTGTCCTTAAGGACGGGATTTTGTACAAAAAATATCGCCCAGTGTGAGTCACGAAACGGGACCCCGGCAGGTGCTGCTCTAGCGGCCAACGCTTCAAGGTGTGTTTTTTAACCGAACGACGAACAAGTCTAATAATTTACGCTGGACCGATTTTCCAGGAACGGCTCCAATTTGTGTACATATAATCTTATAAGGAAAGAGAGTAAAGATTTTATTAATCAGTAATAGATTATCAAGGACAATAATATTTTTTTTATTAAGTAGGCAATAATTTTTAGTTAATAAGCTTAAACAATCTTATAATTACTATTCCTTCATTATAAAAACAGAAATACGGTTTTTAAAATTACATGTAGTTTCTTCTTCAAAAGTGACCTTAAAACACGTATAACATGGAATAGTCAACAGTCTAATGTTTATATTTTCACATTAACAATCCGATAATGTAAATTAACTGCTATTTTCAGTAAAAAAAATATATACCTAACCTGAAATATTTTTTTACTTTGACGAGTCGTTTTAACTTAAAAACACTGCTTAATTACTAAAATATATAGAATCTTGCTACTAATTGCGTTTGGAGAATAATATGTATAGGCATAAAATATATATATAATATTACTGTATGTATTTAGTCCATTGAAATGAAGGCTGAACCTCCATTTTTTCCTCTGTCGATCAAACCTGGGCGCAAATATGTTTTCGACCCTCAGGAATCCGAATCCGCAAAAATTTTTGACCTAGGTGATCAGGCAAGGGGTCAAAAGGTCA